TCAACGCCTTTTGTAACTGTTCATTTCCTTTTTAATTTCCTCCCTTTCGCAACGCGCGCAACCGAAACTCGCGCTGAGAGTAGGCAGGTGTGCGTGCGTTCCACTTTTCTTTGTGCAACACAAGTTGAAATATACAGCGCAGAAATTTACTTTCTGTCTGGCAGTATAGAAGGGATGTTTTGAGAGGGCCTTTGACGGTTCCGCGCAGACCATGGGGAAATGGATCCGAAAGCGCTCTCCATTTCCATAATATTCTCTTTCGCAAGTTTCCAGCCGTATTATTTGTGTGTGGTCGTTCTGACGGCAATATAGAGACGGATATTAGAATTATAGAATTTGACTTTGATTAATTGGAGTTTCTGTTCCAGAATAGCAGATAAATTACTAGTAGATTGAGTTAATTAATTTTTTTTTCGAATTTCACACAAAAAGAAATCCTTTTTTGATAATTTATCGATCCTAGCTGGAGGAAAGATGAAAAGAGAACACCAATTTGCTCAATTGCTAGAAGCTAAAATTTACGATTTTTGAAAATTACTAAACATTTACAAACTAAATTTATCTTGTTTTAAAACGATCTTTCAACGTTAAGTTTTTGTTTGATCTTAACGTAAAAGGTGAATTTTTTATGTATTTTGCCTCTTTAGCTTCAACTGAGGTGGAAATTTTACTTCCCCCAACTTATGTTCGCAATTTTGACGCACTAAATGTCTCAAACGCTTAAAGACTTTTGGGGTTGACGTTCACAATTAGCAAAAGGGAGGCAACTTAGTTTAGAGAAATAAAACTAAACTGAAACACCAATAATCAATAATACAATTGATCGATTGAGTGATATTTTTACTACATAGTTGAAGATGATTTCTAGAGAATAATTTATTGATCGGAGCAAAATCAACTTTCCCAGTTGGCGATGTTAAACACAGAGATCTCAATTCGCTCATAAACTCCCCGGGAGAGATAAGCAGAAAGTTCTTCATCAATGTGGTACTTACGTACGTTTCCCACTTTGAATTCACCATTCCAAGCATACATGGACTTTATATCTGAAGAGGTGCTGGTAAACGTGACATATTACCATGTGAGCACATTTGCTAGACAAACTCGAGTCGACGCTGCCGGCTGATAAACGATGGAATTTGAATATAAAGTTTCGTAGAGAGCGTGCGTCTAATATACTCCGCCATTCGCATCGATTCGGAGAATTGAGAAGGAGAAATTTCTCCGTCTGCAGATCCACTTGTCGAGAAAAAGGGTGAAATTCCTAAACTGTCACGTTTGGCGCTTCAAACCAAATCAAAATATGTCAAGGGAGAAAGAGAAATACAATTTTCTTTGACCAAAAATTATTGAACTTGAAAAGAGATGTTTCGGTTTTTTTTTATTCAGAAAATATTAGATTGAGATGAAATTTTGGCATCTGGAACAGATTCCCGGAGTAAACCTCTTCTCTGATTTATGCCTGGCTAGCAATGAAATCAAAAGCTCAAGTATTATGCATTTTAAACCCTGGGGCAGCAAAAGATAGATCTTTTTGTGATTTCTGCAGGATTAGGACAATTTTGAGACGACAATTGAACAAGAGCATTTAATTAATCAGGTGAAAACATTTCTTCAAATATTTGTTATTCAAATAATTTTTTTTTAACTATTCCACCTTTCTGATGCAGAAACAATTTTCCACAAAACGAATCGAAATACAAAATTCCCCCTCATGTTTTAAAACGAACTTTTACCAAAATTTAATTTCGCACTCTCTAAAGCCACCCTCGCAAAAGCGGATTCCGACTTTGGTGCTTTCAATTTTATTTCCTCTCTAGGACGCACATTTTTTGCTCGACATGTAATCTAGAAATAACAAACTGGACGCTGCGCCGTCGGTTAATCTCCTTAGGCTCTGCCGGGGCGAATTATCCGAGTATGAGGCTGGAGCGCGGCTTTTTATTTCATTTTTCCCGCGCCTCTCTGTGAAACCCTACCGTGCAAGAGGTGGTCCAGCGGAAAATCTGCTTTATGAAGTGCGTTTTGCCTTTTGGTGCCGGCGAAAGGACGCTCGATTTTATTATTGCGAAGAGGCCCCGCAGACATGATCAAAGAGCCACATTGCTTACTCAAATTACTCCCGCAATAGTCCGCGTGTATATGAAGCTGCTGCTGGAGAGACGCAGACCCAGACAGAGTGTTAGAAAATTGGACCGGGGCTAATTTTATTGCCCCTTTGACGGGAATGTTGTTTTGCGAAATGGCTTTCGTAACGAGCTGGCTGCCGAGAAATTTTGCTTCTCAAGAGCGAGACGCGCAGTAGAACTTTTGGCACGCCAGATGTTTGCTTTGTCTCTTGTGTGCGGCTCACCCAAACTTGGTACACATTGTTTTACATCGCCCCAAATTCAATATTTCCGAAAGTGAATCGAAATTGATTTTGCGAATTTCCTTCTACAAAAATCTAAACGAATCTAAAAGGAAAAAGATTGAAAATGAAAATAATTTTATTCTTGATGAAATTTACAATTTCTCCCATTTACAATTTAATTTTTAAGCACCGAAATCTATATGGAAAACAGGGAAATGAATAATAAAAAATCTGAAAACTGTAAAAAAAATTACTTTGAACAATTTCGATATCTATTAATATTTTATGCAAATTTGTACTCATTTTCAATCAATAATAAGTCATCTCAATCTGTCAATTTACCTGCTCGGTCAACAAATGTTTAATGTTAAAAAACATGTCTAATTTAAATTAAAATTAATGATTAAACTGGAAATTTGCAAGAGTTGATATTTAGAAATCCCAGCGAAGAACTAACTTTATTTTTGAAGAGTTGTGTTGATCCATTTAAAATAATTATAACCCTAGCTTGAAATATTTTATAGGTTTTGCGTCCTTCGAGGTTGAGCGTCCAGACAATTGCATCTCCAAATATTATCCCAAGGGCTTACCCATTGTAGACACTCGGAAAGATTAATTAAATTTTCTCGGAACAGACGGGCTTTGGGCGATGAGGAAGATTGCGTCCACTCAAGAGATCTCGTCGAATTTGATATGACCGGCGCCCCCTTCCTTCGTTATTTGGGCTTTTGAGGCTCCGTACGTTTTTCATCTGCGACACGGAGCTATTTTCGGTCTCCCTTTTAATATAAGATTTCAATTTAGCCGGATTAATAAAGAGCGTTGAAAGTAATCAATTTTTTTATGTATTTCTCATATTCAGTAGAACGCAATGGAGTTTATTGATAAAAAATTTAGTTCATTGGAGCAGGAAAAATTCAACTTTGAATTTAGAATAAAACTAAATGTGTCTCAATATTTTAAATTGTTTTTAATATTAATGGGAAATTAAAAGATTGGTGTCAATTTGCATTGGAATTTGGATTTTAAAAGCAGCGAAGATGAGTGACATTGAACTATGTGCTAAAAAAAATTAGCTTCTTAATATTAAAATTTAAAAACAAAAAATTAAGATCACATTTTATTCTTACTTCAGTTTAATGATGTACAAATAATAATTACCATTTTTTTTCAATTAAAAAAAATTCAATAAATGGTTTTCATTGGTTTAGCCAACAAATTAATAGCCAGAAAGAAAATAATTAAAATTAAGAATGGAAACTTTAATTTTAAAACGCATGGAATTTAATTTAATTCAAGTTCATATTGATTCTATGAACTTTTTACTTTATTTTTATGAATTTGAAATTTATTGGCATTTTCTCCCTGTTCACGATCAATCCAATTTATCTCTCCTTTGCCTTTCTTTGCAGAGCATAGATTGAATTTAAGGACCATTCAGTACGAAGGACGCATATCAATACGAAAAACGATCGATTTTGCAGCGAGACGTACGGTTTTCCGCGTGCATTAAATAATATATTCAGGCCTCGTTTGTAACTCCAGCGATGCAAATCAAGCACCGCTCCTTGCCATTCAACACACCATTTTCAACAAGTGGAGCACCGCTTGTTATATTTATGTCTTTTGGATATTTTGGTTCTCCGACGACGCTCATTGTGACTCACCAAAATAATTTCATGTATTTTTCAGAGAGGCGACTCGACGGCAGCGAAACAGCTGATATATATGTGCATTATGCATGAGTTGCACATATTTTTCACGGCTGCGGCGACAAGTCAAAAGTTGTTCAGTTGATTACAGAGTGTGGCTCTAATGTTCAGATGAATTATGAATCGCTCGTTTAGCATTAAAACACGGAGAGAGATAAACAACGCTTGTGAGAGTGACAAATTGAAACAGAACTCTAGTAATTACTCCCTAAGCCATATAAACAAGCGGCGGAAATGAAAATAAATTTCCGAGGTCAACGTCCCAACACGAATGCTTTGTGAATTGCGATACATGCAAATTATATGTTTAGAATTTAATAAATATTTTAAGTTCATTTCTGATATAATTTTCTGTTCCGAACAATTATTGTGGATTTGAACCATGGCGTTTTGCTCAGTTTTGCTATTGTCTAATTTATATTATTGCAAATATTCTTCAATATTATAAAAGAAATTTAAATTTTTTTAATTTTATTCAGTAACCAAACAGTAAAGCTGGTATAAATTATAATATTTGCGACCATTTTTTTTAGGAGGAAGAAAAAAAATAGCTTTTAATAGAGAATTTTGATAAATCAAATTTAACTAATATTGCAACAAAGGTTTTTTGAGTAGATTTTTTGGTTAATAATATAACATTAAATTTAAATCTCATGCTTCTTGAAAGAGTAAAAGCTTTCCTGAGCAATTTCATTTTATTAAGTGACGATTTGTTTATTATTACATTGGCATTGGTCCATACGTTAAAACCACCAAGCAAAAAATTAGATTGACCCATTTTAATATTTTTTTTCCTTAGATTTACGCTCTTATTGTTAGTTTAATGACAGTGACCTCAGGTAAGAATTCTTTAAATAACAACAATGAACTTTCTTAGCGAGTTTACATTTCAAGAAAGACAAGGAACACGCTGAATTGACATTCTTTTTTTAAAGAGCACGGAAAATCGCGCTGACTGAGTAACATTTGCCGCAGCGACTTTGAGAAATGAAGACTGCGCTTGCACTGCCCTAAATAATACGTTTAAGATACTTCATTCCTTTGTAGCAAAGTGCAGTGCGGAGCACATAAAATAGGTAAGTTTTTTTTTAAATTTAAATTATACAATTAAGTTACTTTGTTTTTATTTCTTACCATCAGATGGTGGCCGAAACCAGTGGAGCAGTTATTTTTTAGATGCAAAGATAATCGGTGACCGATTTTGACGTTGAAAAAAAATGACGAAAGAGGAAAAGATAAAATCTTTACCACTCTGTGTCGCCCTTTTCTTTGGGCTTTATTATTTTTTTATGTTTGACAAAAGTGACAGTCTATATTTTGCGGATATAAGAAGTGGACACAAAATGTTGGACCTGACAAATTTTTTAGACAACCCCGCTGCTTTCAATGAAATCTTTGGTGAAAAAGTTGTGTTTTTCATCGAGTCGACCGATAAGGGCAAACTAGACGCGAGAAAAGTTTGCTCCATTGAAGCCCTAAATTCCTTCAACCCGGACGTGAAAATTATTCTCGTCTTTATCAACAATGGACGGAAAATGAAACCAATAAAAAGTCCTGCATTGACAGAACTTCTCTCTAGAAAGAAAAATATAATCCTGGCCTTGGTTAACAATTTACAGGTAAAAAGTAGAATACTTTTATATTTTAATTTTCAAATATATTAAACTTTACAGGTTTTTAAAGGAACGCCTCTAGAAGGGATTTTAAGCTCAACACTTTTCCAAGATGAAAAACAAACTGAAGTGAAAGAGATTCGCCTGAGCAACTTCCTGCGTCTCTGTCTTCTTTGGAAACTGGGCGGCGTTTACATGGACCTCGACTTTCTCCTGTTTAAGAACATCAACTCTTATATAAATTTGCAAAATTTTCTGATCGCCGACACCAAAAGAGACCGAATTAAGGATCCCATTATGGGCTTCCAGAGGAATCACCCCTTTTTGAAGACCATTATGGAAACGTTGGGCAAAAAATACATCCCGCTTCATTCAAACTCGACGCTGCCAACCCTCAACGTTACCACCTTTGGCACGGTCGAGGAAGAAGTGACCAGACACGTGGGTGAAGTGCAATTTTTGGATCGCAACTTCATCAGTCCAGTAAGATACGGCGATTTTTTTGACGAATCGAAAGGAGAGTTGACGGAATCAATGATGAATGAGAGCCTCGGTGTGCACTTGTGGCACTTTTATAGCTTTTACTTGAGGCTGAGGAAAGATTCCATAGCACCATATGCCATTGCCGCTAGGAAATTTTGTCCACGATCGTTTGATAAGGCAGACGAGTTCTTTTGAAAGCCATTTTATTGTTGAAGAGATAAAAGACATGAATAAAAAGATTTGGTTTATTCTTTTAAGTTGCTTTAACAGTCGTGTTTGAGAACCTTAACAATCGACATGATTTTTAACTTAAAACATGTTATTTTCATATTAAAAATTTGAATTTTTGTGTTTTTCTTGGTTATAAATCAATAATAACCGATTTTTTAGTGAACTTATTTTCTAATAAAAAATAAACAGTTTGAACTTCATGAATGCTTGCAAGTTAATCCTCTCTAGTATACACTATTCCCTAAATTGTGAAAATTGGCTTCAATGGAGTAAATTTCAATTCAATAAATCGGTGTTTAAAGACAAATTAAACATAACAATGGACCTCGGGGTATTTATTAAATTTTTTTATTAAATGTAATTTGACGTAATCTATTTTTAATAATAAAACTATTATCTAGGACAGCGGGATAAGATTTCTCCATTTAGATTTATCCCGGGAGAACTAACTCAAGAGAATGGCTTTTATAAAATAATTTGGCATTTAAAGTCTCAAACGCATGAAATATTGAATATACATAAGTTGCGCGGTTCTACTTTAATAAAAATAAAATCCGTTCTACTTTTCTAATACTTTTTCTATCGAAACCATTTTGAAAGTAATTAAACGATTTAATTAAATTCATTCATAAAATTAAATTAAATATTAGGATTTTTACAGTTATTTTTAAATAATTTTTGAATCGGATTTAATTCAGCTCCACCATTTGCCACACATAAATGCGTCGGTGTTATTTTAACCTTTGCATTAATTCGCGCGTTTGTCCATCACCGGTCGGCGCGTGGCGGTGATCGCGCCCCAGAATGTTTATCTAACGAAGATAGATGGAAAAATAAAAGAAACGCGGCGCGGCTGGATATCGAGCTGGACGAACGCTCGCGGATGTTATTTTTGTTTAAAAAATGAAAGGCCCCCGACGACGGTAGACATCAATCATACCGAGCCAACAATCGACTCCCACCGGCGCCTTTTCATAAATTATCTCTCGCGCTCTCTGCCGAGCGCCGATGATTCTTTATTTTTTTACTTTTAAAAGGCTATTAATAGGCAACGCCCGCGATCGATTCCGCCGCTCCTGCTCTTTTCCGCCGAAATTCACTTGTGCAAACAGGTCCAACAAACGGTGCATTAATTTTTTCGCCATCAACGTGAAGAGTGAACTGTGCGATAAATCATTTTTGAAAGCGAGCAAGATCGTTACTGCCGGCGATAATGGTAAAATAAAAACGTTGAAATACTGTGGCAGATTTTTCACTCCATTAACAAAAACGAAATTAAAATAAATCCTGCCTCAAGCAAAACGAAGAAGAGTAATTGTAAATTTTATTTGGAAATTTTTGAGCTTATAAAAAGAATTGGAGATTGGAGCGTTTTATTTCTGGACTATAATTGAAAAGTTTTGCTACAAAGATCTGAAATTAATTAACTGCTTTGAAACACGAACGCCGCAAACATTAAAATTCTGTATAATAATAAAGAAATTTTAGGCGTACTTAAGTTTTGATTAAATAATGCGATAAGCTTTGTATAATCACATCAACTTTACTGCCCGCTAGGAAAATTATTGCAAAGCCCGCTAAAATGGCCCTGATAAAATTTACGCGGCCGTCCAACGGTTTTATGCCTCTTCATGAGCACGACAGGGTGCTCCCTTTACACCGAACTTCTGGCGTTGACACAATAAATAACGATCAGCAAAACAGGGAGAATACCCAACAGACCATTTTATGGCTAGTTTTATGCTGGAATTCTCCGGGAGAGAATATAATATAAGGAAGGCCAGTTTTATGGTTGAGAATTTCTGCGAGTTTTTCAACTCTGATAATAATGGGGACGAGCACGCGAGCGGAAAGGGAAAAACTAACATATGAGTCAAGAGTATAAAAATAGAATCCCCATCAATTATGAAATTGGACACCTCGTTAATTATGAACAGAAATGGAAGGGTGATATTTTGACCCTCTTTGTATGCTGCGTAAACTGCATCGTTTGTATGTAATAATTTATGTTGGAATATTGCCTTGGTGTAGATCAAAGTAGTGTAGAAATTCAGTATGTTGAGTGAGATGAGATCTTTCTTATTCATTGAAACTCCTCTTCTCAAAGTTTGTTATTTGCTGAGTGTCGCAATTGAATTTTTAATGATTTCCTCTCAAACACCTTCATCTTGTTTTCAAATTCAACGAGCGTATTTTTTGCAAAGATGTGGATGGAATCAAGAAGAAACATCAAAGTAAAATTCACTCGATTTCTTTCTACAGTAAGAAAGTAATTCCTTTAATGTGCAAATGGAGAAATGTTTTAATAAAGTATGTTAAGCAAATCTCAAAATGGAAATATCTCAAAGAGCTTTGAAAGCAATGAAATTGAATTAAATAAAGAGTGTGACATTCAAGCTTGAAAAATTTTCAATCATTAAAATGCTAAAAATTGCAGGAAATAAATATTAAAAAAAAATGCATTTGTGAATTCATGAATAAGCAGTTCTCATATTCATTCAAAAAATGAAATATTTCCTTCAAAACACACCAATTTAAGAACATAAGAAAGCTATATAATGAAGCTTTTTTTTTAATTGCCAGCAGTCTCTCTTTAATTCAGTTTGCAGAGGGTTTTGGAAATTTAATTATTTATTAATCACCTTCATATTCCGTATTTTCACAGTTAAAATAAAATTTAATAAATTCTGAATCCTCATATCAAGTTAAATTTTCTTAAATCCAGCTCACACTCACTGTAATTAGATTTTATTCATTTGTAAAAACGCTCCGATTTATATAACTCGGAACTTTTCTCATTAATCCAGGGCTGATTGTGACGAGGATATAGTTCGTAAAAGTACAAACTGTTGAGGAGGAAAACAACTTGCAATTAGTTCTTCTCTCTCTTCAGAGCGTTGGTGGTGAAAAGTTGAGGCAGAGAAAAGAGCGGAGATAAATGCGCAAACCGCCTCTTTTGTCTTATTCTGCACATTGTGATTTCCCGCATTCAGCGGAATGCGTTTTCCTTTCCTCCTTCATGGTAGTTGCTCATTTCTTAGTAAAATCCTTCTGGGTATTTATTTTTAGAGCAAGCAAGACCAAACAAGAGCGGGACATTAACGCGAAAATCGATCTTGTCGCAAACGATTTCAATATAACGGGGAGAGACGCAGATGGTGCTTCATATTAGGGTAGGGAAGCATCAGGCAGAAATCTAATTTTTGCAACACAAATGGCGGCTGTCAGGGGGAATCGCAATTTATGCCAAAATATCAAATTCAGAGATGGAAGTTGTGACACTTGACGTCAATCGGCAAGGAAAGGAAGTATGATATTTTTTTGTAGCATATAAGCTTTTTTTAAATTAAATTTTTCAATCTTGTTTGTAGGAAAAACATAAAAAAGATCAATGTATAAATAAATTATCAAACCGCTAAAAGCCAGATTTTCCAAATTTATTGCTATTATTATTTTTAATAAAAATTGCAAATTTAAATCTAAAAGTAGAAAAGAAATATTTTAAATAATTTGATTTTTGCATAAAAGTTCTATTAAAAATAGGATATTTTTTTCGTAATATTCTTAACTTAAAAAATCGATTTCCTAAAAATGTACCAAGAATATTAATTTTTTTTTTAATAAAACAGCATATATTAAATTTATGCCTATAATTGTAAACCCATTGATGAATTAAATAAATTTTAGAGAATTTCGACTTAGAAAAGCTAATTTCAATAAGAAAAAAATGATCTACTCGTGAAGCAGACATTTTGTGATCGTAATTTACTAGAAATCCATTTTTCCAAGCTCAGCTGAAACAATGGAACATTTTTAATCAGATTATAAATTAATTATCCGACCTACTTATTAAGAAGTTGCTCACTTTAGAAACAACTTGCAATAGACAGGCGGATAATTGAACGCCGAGCTCGTGAAAAGCAACGAGTTTATAAAAAATATTTCAACCAGCAGCGTTCTCATTATAAGAAAAATGAGTTCCTTCTGACTTGAGAAGAAATAAATCCCATCACTTAGCGTCAAACTTTCGCCAATGTGATTGCTTTCTGCAGAATTGCGACCACCACGGGGCGATTTAACTCTGCTTAACTGGATTCGTGGAACTGCTTTTATTGTTAGAAACGCTTGCTAAAGTTCACAGAAAACTTTTAAAGAAATAAAAATCTAAAAAAAAAAGATTGCGCAATTTAATAATTAGCAAACAACTAGATTCCATGAAATGAAAATAGTACAATTTTAATTAAAAAAAGTTCATTTCTGAAGGACTTTTTCAAAAATATCTTTGAATAAAATTTACATAATTTAGTTTTCAAATACGCCGACTTTGATTGAACCGATTAAACTTCATTTATAAAACAATCAAAGTTCATGAATGTCGCCTAAAAATAGTCGAAAGTTTTGACCCGAAACACTGAATCTTCATTTCCCTAAACAAACCTGTCGCAATCTCATTATCTGGGAATCCCTTTGGGGCCAATAAAGTAAACCCGGGCTCAGAACACCTTGAAATTGAGCCGTTTTTTATACTAGACGCGCACGCCAATTTGTTGCGCGCCGGCGTGTGTAATGAATAAAATTACAAGACAAACACAGTGGCCGTTCGCTGGAGAGGGTTGTTGCTCTCGGCCTGCCTCGAACCCACGTGATCCATTATCGGAGGGAAGGGGTTAAGTGTAAAAAAGGCCGGAGCGTGTCCAAAGAAAACAAACGGCGACACTGCGCGTTGCTGCAATGGGGCCCTCGCTCGCGCTGCCATTAGGCCCAGACTATAAATACGAACGGGCCGTTTTTCTCGCTCGGGGTAAATATTTTGTCCGGCACTTTGGTCCTCAAGGTCACAGCAAAAAGCGTCCGTCTTCTCTGCAAGAATATGCCGGCTGCAAAACAAGGGTGTAATTTGCGAGTTGAAGAGGAAAAAACACTCACTGCCATTTGCCTCTTATAAGAAAGAGTGGCTTCGCATCTTCTCTTTATGTTCCTTTGTATAAAATGTGTTGAAGATAAAAAAATGGCAATAGGCCAATATTTTGAAATATTCTAAATCACTAAATATTTCTTTGAGCTGATACCAGTAAATTATTTGTAATCTACTTTTTATAATTATAAATTTTAAATTATTTATATACCGATACAAATAGATTCTTGGGCGATCAATTTTGCTTATGATTTTACAATTTCTGCTTATAATTTTTTGAAAATT